AGAAATGAATGCTACACATTTGCAAAGAGGGGTTGTTTCGGTCTTAAGATAGGCAAAATTGATTGCCATCTCAACAATGATGTTGTATTTTTTTCCCTCAGGATGTTGAGAAGTAATCGTATAAGCTGCGTAGGGAACGACAGTTTCACAGGACTCAGTTCTGTGCGTTTGCTTTCTTTATATGATAATCAAATTACTACAATTGCACCAGGGGCTTTTGATACTCTCCATTCTTTATCTACTCTGTAAGTATGAAAAATAGTCTTCATTTATGTATTAATTGAGCCAGTGTATTATATTTATTACTTTTATTGATAAGATTTTTAATGTATTACTAAGCATTTCATAAAAATGAGATCAAAGACAGACTTTTTTAAAAAGGACAAATTTGTTCATGTTAAACTTATTTTAATTTTTCTAAAAACATTGCCTACTATCCTATATTAAAATTTAACAAAAATCATGGTATTTTTCAGTCATTTGTTTTTATAACAATGTGGTGTGGCTTAATTTATAAATGGTAATCTTATAATTTGATTGAGAATTATTTTATTCTTTTACAAATAAAAGAAATGTAGATTTGTTTTTCGCAGTGCTCTCACATTGGAGTCTTCACAATATAAGTATTATAAAAACAGAGTTGATAGGGTTATTGCCAACAAACTGTACTCAAAAGGATCATTCACAATGACAGGAGATATATTAGGATGACCAGACCAACAATAAAAGCTCACCAGAGGGCATTTACTGTGATATTAAGAAGATATTAAAGAAATAGGCTGAGCCTATCCAAGAGCACATTTTGTGTAGATGGTTGGAGAATAAAGAATATTTGTAGGTCTACAGATAGAACTCAGAAAGTGTCAGAAAACAAACAAATTTTCCAAGTGTTTCAGGCCCCTTGTATGTCAGTATTTAAAAAGCAGTGTTTGAAATGATAAACCTTATAACTGATATAGCTTCCTGGTAATGGTGGCATCTAAAAATACTAATTTAACTGAAAAGGTAGTTAGAAGGAAAAAAATCATGTTCAACATAGCTCAAGTCCCTGAAGAAATAATTTGAGGGAAGCATCCATCCATCAGTGAGGTACTTAATCCTCTTTCCACATAAAATGTGACATTTTCTATCAAGTGACTAATTTGTGCATATTAAAGATGGCATGTTTATAAATAATGGGATTGTCAATAGGTTTGTGCTGAAGTGGTGAGATGCCAAAAGTATTGAGATTTGTAGAAGTAAGTTCATTTTTATAACTGGCATTTAATCAACTCAGCTGTCAGTTCAGATGGGAAACCTATTCTCTGGAGCAAATAAGCGATGGAAATCTTGAAATGACAAATTAATGAAATAGCTGTTGTCAGGTTAAACTCAATAATATAAGGTAATCAGCCTTCATCTTTATATTAAATTACTGCATTATCAGTGTAGGGA